TTTATGAGACAGGTCTTAGGGTTACCCAGAGGCATGGCACAGTTGCTCATTTGAAGAGAATACCCAGTAGAATCTCACATTTGAGTTGAACATTCCCCGGAAAATAACATGGCCACTTCAAGTTACGAATCGTTCTCCGTTACAGATGGCAATGAAATCATGGAGATGAAACAGTTAACCTTCAGATGTGTAAACTCTCAGTAACGACCGCAGCAAAAAATATTGTGAAACTTTAGAAGTGATCAACAGCTCAAAAAATCCTACCTATTTCCCAAACGTATTACTCCTTGGAGATAAACACAAATTGTGTTCGTAACGACTATGGCGGAGTTGTATTCTAAATATGCTGATATTGATTGATAAATCGAAAAGCTGTTATTTTGCTTGGCTAATATCCACTTCCTCTTGACATAAATGGGCTGTTGAGGTCTTTATACCTTGAGTTGCGATAATTAATAATGTTTTCCGTCATTTGGTGTAATCATTAATGGTTTACCGAGCTCGTTTTCTTGATAAAAGACCGTTGTTGACACTGTAGACGTGGTCTACAATTAATAGAGCCGTTTGATAAACTCAGTGATTAAAATCTATCATACAAATGTGCTGAACAATTGTTTTAGAAATATATGGTGTTTTCGCTTCCATATGTACATACATATAACGGTTTGTTCAAGCTCAATCAGTCTTTGTTGTCTTTACATATAAGAACGCAATGGTGAACCAAATGAACATCAATTTCAAAATAATAATGCTTGTATTTAATATATAGCCCATAGAGGGCACAACACTTGGTGTTCAGTGTACCTACTGATGCCAACAAGCAACTAGTCAAATATCCATATAGATACACATATAGACTATGCTATTACAACACATGCACGTATTCCAGGCAGCAAAATAATATTTTGGGAGTATTTGAATACTTACCGGTTTTTTATGCATAAATGTACTTTCTGTTGGATTTTCGATACGGTTGTTGAAGACTAGATGCTCCCACAAGACCAATAACACGTTCGTCATGACAAACGACAGGAATAGGTTCAGGTGGATCTGTATGCGATGTTGCGTCCGTAGCTGCCTGGTAGAGAGAAGATATAACAGAATAATCCGTTTGTTCTTATCATGATGTTATGAAGATAATTTTATCACATATCTTTGATTTCATTGATTGCTAGAGAAACTTAAGCGAATTTTGTAATATTTGTTCTAAAGTACAAGCCTATATTATGACGCCCTGAAGATGTGAAATCTAAGCATATAGTGATGCGATAGACATGACGTCTCACAGTACGTGAGAGTAGCACCAAAAGTCAAGCCATGTAGATGCTAATGAATTTTGCAGTACACCCTTTAAGTATTTATTCGCCAAGGTTTCCGCTTAAAGTGTATTGCCACACTTGCTGTACATAATGTAGGAACCGCAACACAGTATTTAGCCACGCTAATAAAGTAAAATCATTTGTTATAATTGACACAGATTTTTTTAGGCGGTAATGCATCTTCCCGAGGCAAGGGTGCTAACTAACTATGTTCGACAGTAGTTTCATTCCTCTCCGAACGAGACTGGAATTCTTAAAGTTATGATTTGCCTGGGCTAACGGGGTCAATGCATATCCTATGTAAATGGCTTAACGAAATCGACATCCCGTTCGTAAACACCTTGGCGAATGCCGTGCACATGTTTCAGTTATCTACACACAATCATTATCCGACATTTAAAAGGATATCTTTAAAACATAATCTTACTTCATAATGGTATTCACGGAGAAAACAATGAATTTGATAATAACTTAGTAAATAGAATGTTTTTAATTTATAAGTGTCATTTATCTAGAGATTTCCAAAAGCATACAATGTTCAGTAAGTGTAGACATGCATCTAGAATAACAATGCGTCACTTCACAGGAATTCGTAACTGTACATAGGGCCTCGTAGGATACATGGGTTTATTGTAGGATATCATCCGGGCAGTGTCCTAACTCGGAATAAATAGAAACAGGGATTTATTAACTACCTGTTTGCAAATATACTTTGGTTGTGTTACTTGTGGCTATTTGTGGTGGCACGTGGTCATGTGCACAGCGTACAGGTCACAAATCAGGTAAAGTTGAGCAACGTCGGTCGCGGAGAGCCCTTGGATGTGTGGCCGCGTTTGGGCAGCATGGCTCGTGCCTCTGTACACCCAGCAGTGAATGGGTACGCGGTAGGATGAGATGGCAATGAAGTTGTTAACCCCCTAACAGGCAGCTAGGGTTGTATACAGGGAGATGAGAATGATTCTTGAGTGTACACTGATCCAGTGACCGGGGAAATAATAGTGCTTTGATCAAGTGGTATGGAAATATGCAGAATATAAATACTTAGCCTATTTATATTATTATTTACAGATTAAAATATAAAATGCAGCAAAGAGGGTTTGGGTGATCCTGGCACAGTCAGGCTGGCTAGGCTCTTCATCAGCTCAGGGCCCTTGTCCCCTCTACATGCAGCCTAGACAACGAATGGGACTTCTCCCAGGAAGCGCTGCTTAGTCAAACCCACCCAGAACTTTTCGGAGAATGTAAAGACTCCCCAACACTGCAGCCTTCTGCATTACGGCAATTGTCAGAAAAGCTGTAGTCCTGGTAGCAAACCCGGGCACTCTCCCAATGTCAGTCAACAGATTGGGAGGCACCAAACCTAAGGCACTACGAACAATGGGGAGACGGACAACTTGGTAATTGGGATGCAAGCGTGACATTTCGAAAGCGATGTCTGCATATTTCCCATGTTTTTCCTCAATCGTGTCAATTACAGTGTCAAAAGGGACATAAATTTCAATAATATACTAGCCACATAAAGAAACTGTACACGGAGAAAATATATTCTGGATTGGAATAAAACACAGCAAGAACAAAATGATGCAGACCCTGTAGCAGCTGAATGATCGGACCATAAGAAAATGTCAACGGGACCTGAACAACATCTGGAGGATGTGGAAGACGACGCCGACGGCGCTCCATTTCATCCCACACATGCTCTATTGGGGAGAGATCTGGAGAATTTGCAGGCCATGGCAGTAACATGACATTGTTATGGTGAAGGAAATCCATTGCGACCCTAGCCGTGTGAGGACGAGCGTTGTCCTGTTGAAATGTCAACCCCGGGCCATGACGTTGCGGGAAAGGAATGGCCACTGGCCTCAGAATCTGATCTCTGTAGCCAACACCAGTGAGATTGCCCTGAACAACCACCAAAGGGGTTCGGTGCCGTGCTGTTATCCCACCCCAAATCATCACAGAGCCACCTCCATAACGATTCCTCTCCACAATACAGTTGCGTGCATAACGTTCTCCCAAACGCCGGTGGACACGTTGGTTCATCTGTAAAGACAACATTTCTCCACCATATTCAAGGTTGGCGAACATGATTTCGACACCATCTTAGACGGTTGACTTGATGACGGTTTGTCAGGATGGGACGTATGGCAGGGCGTCGTGGTCGAAACCCGTACTGACGTAAACGATTCCTGACAGTGTTGGGATGGATACGGCGCAGTCCAGGAATTGTCTTGGATGTCATTACTGCCGTTTGGAACCTGTGTCGGAGATGTGTTACTCGAATCCATCTGTCCTGTCTTGGCGTCGTTACTCGGGGACGTCCTGAACGTGGGTGGTCGACAACGTCATTTGTGTTCTGATAACGCCTCACCAATGCCGATATCGTGTTACGATGGCATTGGAAATGTGTTGCCACCTGTTGTTGCCTCATGCCCGCTCGGATCATTCCAATGGCTTCATGACGCTGTGCAGCTGTCAATCTTGGCATGATTTGCTTGTGATATGCTTGTGTCTGCGCCTGAGAAGTTTTGAATTTTTGAATGACCACAGATCATGCTTTCCAAAGTGACAGCGAATTTTGAGTTGCACATGCTGTGTACAGCTGCACAAGATGCACGTGCAGTAACACATTGCACGTCCATAGGCCCCCATCAATGACGTCATATCGCATGGCACGTGCATGAGCGTTTGAATGTCTCCAATAATTGCTGTGTTCAAACCTATATTTCATATATGGACGGTGTGCCCTTATATCTATATTTTCTCCGTGCACAGTTTCTTTATGTGGCTAGTATATAAATGATTTCATAGGATTTATCAAAAAGGACAAGATCAGGTTTGTTGGCCTTGATACGTCTGAGTCTGAATTTTGTATTTATCATTTTCAATTGCGCCCTCTACATATTCTGGGTCGTACCATGGATGGACCTGTGTATCAAAACCACATCCATGGCGGTAATAAAATGATCGAGCCCCTCCATTATGTCGCTTAAGATATTGTATTTGCTGCAAAGCTTGGCATCCAGTGACAATGTTTTGGACAGTCTCATTAAATTCATTACATAATCTTCATTTTATATTAACATTTTGATGCAAAATCACACATTTGAGGTTTCGAGTGGGAAGTGACTGGTCCTGAGCAGCAAACAGAAAGCCTTCTGTTTCACTTTTCAGGCCAGCCAACCTCAGGACTCTGCAGGGATGCTGATCTTCTCAACACACTGCACATAAACTCGATACAGATGTCGTTCAGATAGCCTCTCCTTGAAAAACGGAGTCTGGGCCGAATCGATATGGCACTTCGTATGGTTGACACTAATTTCTGTACCGTCCAGCAGTACAGAACCATCAACAAAATAAACATTCACATTAGATTATGTACCACATCCTTGGTTCGTTTACGAAAACTGTGGAATGCCTTGTTTTCTATATTATTATTATTATTTTCATTATTATTATTATTATTATTTGGTATACTGATGTATCTTATTGTACTAGGCGTGCACTCAGTGGTAGATCATTACGCCTTGTTTCTCATTACACATTCCATAAACACATACGGAACATGTCTTTCTCATGCTGCTATGTGCTGCTACTGGTCTTTTGGGAAGTTTCCAACCTTCAAATTAAACATATTTTGATCGCAGTTTCACCGCTTTAACGTGTATTTTCAGAGCATGTTCATTCTTGGGCCCTGTAGGTTGTACATTGAATTGTTCTGAGTTTTTCCAATATTCCGATGAATGTTGTTGTGTATTGTCACCAAAAGTTCTAAATAAAACAATTGTTTTGTGAATTCGGGCATCTTATGATGTATATATTTGAAGACCGCTTTATTAGTTTCGTACGGTTAACACGTGGTATCTCTCGTACCTACGGTAAAAGTCCTTGGCAGCCGGTTACCGTACATAAATCGTTCAGATCGTAGATACCGTAGTCATTGTGTGAACATTTTCATATACGGTACTGCTACTGTCAACTATCTGTGAGGACGTTGACCTTAAGAAATACGGGATTATTTTACAGCGTACTTTACTCGTGAAGTGTAATCCTAATTACTGTACTTGTTACATTGTGTTCACATGTCTTGAAAACCGATAATGCAAATATACAATCGGCGATAACAGTCAGTCAACCTGAACACAGTTTACTCATAGCAGACCACTAATAGCTGATAATACATGTATTTTTTACACTGTAAGACAACTTACCTATACAGCACAAACACCACACACGCCGGCAGTAGAAGGGCAAGACTCAGGATATTGCAGGATACCCCTACATAGTACAAAGTCTTGAATCCCTGCAATCAAATGACAAGACATAAATAGACCGTTACTGCGAGGTAATTCCTCTAAATAATGGTCCACACCAACATTAAAGGAAACACTCAGTTGATAGGTGAGGTGAAATTGGGTTTAACGTCGCGTTCAATATTATTGCACTAATAAAGCGACTTGCATACACATGTAAGTGTGGATACTTGTACTTGTCCGGACCAATGCCGATTCTATAGTGCTAGCACACTGAGATACCATGCATGCCGTAGTTTAACATGAATACCCTACTCAGACACAGTATACTGACCCCGAGCCGACCAGTCCTCGTTTTAGCCCCTTAATGCCGAGCCACCAGGCAGGGTAACAAGTACCACCTGTTAACGTCTTTTGGTATCACGCGGCCGGGGATCGAATCCGCAACCTTCCGCTCTCCGGACAGACGCTTCCTCCACAAGACCATGGAGGCGGTCGAAACAGTACAGAAACAGCAAAAATGTGATGTTCAAGGGGAACAATGTCTGTTACTGTCGGGTAAGGGTGAGTACAGATTCGCCAATGCTGACAACACATGTCTGAACTTTTAAATGGACTAGTTACTAGTATTCAGTTGTTTGGATATGTCTTTGAATGATAAAACACGACTGTACTATAACATAGATTTAACATATTCAAACTGTTTTGAAGCATTGCATAGAAAGACGGTGCAAAAAGGAGATATATAGATCCTCACTCGACCCCTTTCTGGTATTTATGTGCCATTCGTCCCCGACACCCGACATGGGTTTTTACGAAATAGGAATAATGCTGGATTATAAGTCGAATGTTTCGAAAAGGACAATACATGTACGGCTTGGCATCTGTCGCATCTGAAAGTGTGTATTACGAGCACAGGTGTGGTGTTGACACAGAAAGACTCATAAAAAGTATAAATCTGCCATTGGAAATCACGACGATCGGATGCTTGCACTACTGTATAACTGTCTTCATTCTGCAGGAACGCCAGACACAGTCATTACATGAAGCATAGGGCTTGATTTAAGGAACTTGTTTTGATTTGCACCAGGTCCATGTTGACATGAAAACCTTGTTGCACCAGACAAAGCCATATTGTACCCTGGTCCCATAAATGTATCTAAATATATAAAATCGCAGACCTCTGACGACTTTAATACTGTGAGTACTTCAGCTACTGTATTCATGTGACAATATCATCAGTAGCAACCATCATATAATACAGAATGATTATCATTAGTTTGATCATCTAAATTTCATAATGTGATGCGGCTGTCAACTTCAGTGATAGACGAAGCTACAGTGCAGTAAATAATCCAGAAGTACCCATAGTTTGATGACGTGAAACCCAAGAAAGCATGACAAATTATTTAGGTAGTATGGTAATAAAAGCTTAGAGGTATTGAGTGTCTTCAAAGATAGAGGTTGTGTGGACACAAATTTGAACATTGGATATCCACCTGGTGCATGTTGACATTGTTATTAGGTTGTATTTTTCAATGATAGTTTGCACTGGTGCATGTTAGATATAGCTATATCGAGCCTTGAATGATATGTATGCATACATATACACGCGCATATGCATATGCGTATCAGTGTACGATGTTTATTTATTTCTCTAGCAATTTGTCTTCATTACTTTTGCATATTGTGTACAGCATGGATATTTCATAATGTGGTATGTCTCCAGATTCTAAAATGTTGAAATTCAAGTAAACCACAGCTTCTTATGAGCAGAGCTGTCTTTTCTTTCGATTACGATGCCAACCAACCGACGTTTTGTCTACAAACTCAGAAAGTCCTGAGTCATTAGTTCTATTTTGACAAAGGCAACATTGAAATTGTCTATAAACACAGTAAAGCGAAGTAGAAGTATTATCAAGTAACACAGCGCACTATCGCTCGTAACTATATTCCTACATCCATAGCTGATTGTTATTAATAGAATGTGAAGCAAGGTCACTACGGTCAAATCATTACAGTGCGGGGCAGTGATTACGTAGCGTGTATTGGATTAGAGAAGGGTTTATATGTGGTATTTTCATGGTAATGAAACTTGTCAATAACATAAATTCAAAGTGATGTCTTGAATTGAGATCCAAAGATGTTTTCAAGGTACATGTATATACGCATACTCAAACAGCGGATCCTTCAGCTCGTTTCGATTAACGCTGTCGTAAACTAAAAATACCAAAAACGGCTGTTATATCGACTAATTTCTTATATCCACACAACAAGATGCGTTAATTCGAACTGAAATGTTCAAATACGAATCAAGCTGATGCCCCCCCCCCCCCTTTATCTGCTGTCATGGCGGTCATAGCGGCTGAATTGTTTATGGCAGCATAGTTCTATTCTACTTAATCATATGCTTTTTCTTCAAAGTAGTCACGCAAACATTGGGCAATGATCGTATTACGATCTAAGTGTAAACATACACTTCGCATCAATCATGTACAGATTACACAGAAGTCACGCACGCATTATAGTGTTGAACTATAATGCGTGGGCTTTAGCACGTGACAATGCCGACGGCGGTAAGAGTTTATCGTTGTTAATTTAGTAACACTGGATAACCCAACTTTCCTCGACAACGTTTAATTAAATGTTAGCTGTAGAATATCAGAGCTAAAGCCAAAGTAGGTAGAAAACAGACTAAAGTAATGCATTCAATACCACAACGTTAGCCTTTCAAAGTGAACGAGAATTTCATATTGCGTCATATGCTGAAAGATATAAATATAAATAACACTTTCATCGACAAGACAACACACGTACACTTGACGAACAGAAACAACTGACTGTATAAAGTTGCGTATAATTCCAAATTATTCCCGATTATGATCAGTGTTTTATCGACAGCATATACCCGTAAACGTCCAAGACCTGCGATACTTTGGGCTTTCAACCCTCCTTCATGCTGTCACGCTGTGATGTAACTGCAATGCTGTTTAAAGCTGAGTTGAACACATAGAATCATATATCAGTCTGTTAATAGTATGACATATAACTACATTACATTGTATATCAAGAGCATATATATGAAATGCATGGAATACAATTAGTGACTCCTTTACCACTAGGTTCAGACAGTATCCAAGTATCCCTTGTATCTGGCTTCAAAGCATCATTATCATGTATTATCATTTAACAGACACATTGTAATCGGCAATAAACACTTGGGCATTTCTCTTCAACAAACTATATACCTTATTGTCACTAAAATGTAGTCAGAAGATTAGAAGTCCACCTTCTTCCAAACTATATTATTATGTTAACAACGCAAAGTGTCGATGGTTTGCAAGGAATAGTCCTTCTGGCAAGTTGATGTTAAATGCGAGTACTTTAGCTCTTCTTGATTGGCACCCAACAGTTTTTAATGTCGACAGAGAAAGCTGTTTGTATTTATAAGCACTGATATAACACTGATATAAATATACTGAACCGCAAAAGAAACGTCACCCCAAGTAACATTACATGAAAAGTTGTCATTTAAATATCTGGTATTTTTGTCAAAGTTTCTAAAATTTAACATTACCTTGCCCGGAACATGAAATTTGATGATAAAAAACCCCAAAGCAGATGACAATAAAACCGATCGCCCAAACGCATCACGGCCACGGCCACGGCCATGGTAACCCGATACACGTGAGTTCCGTCCAAACTGAAATAGACATGCGTTCCCCCATTTCTTTCTCTATAAAAATCCACCCAGATCGGATAACATTCATTCGTTATTGAAATTGCTACCACATGCCAAGATTGACAAGAAATCAGCGACACCAAGTCCTTGGACGATTGCAAGCTGGACAAACCGCCCGGCAAGTAGCAAGTGCACGTGAGGACCATATACAGGCTCCAGCAACGGTGCCATAACACCAATACTACAGATGACCGATCACGTAGTGGCAGACCAAGGGTCAACACCCGACGACAGCATCGTTAGATTGTGCGACAGCATCTGTAAGATCGCTTTGTTACTGCTGCGGAAACTGCTCGACAGACCATGAGGACACACCAGCGACACATAAGTACGGACACCGTGCGTCGACGAGTGACGAGCAGACACCCCTACTGTCACAGGCCACACCGAGGAACCATTCTGACACCACGTCATCGCCGGGACCGTCTTCAGTGGACAACACAGCACCAGCATTGGCGCCATCAGCAGTGGAGAAGAGTCTTCTTCTAAGACGAGAGCCGTTACTGTATCTCAACAGCAGATGGCAGAGATAGAGTCTGGTGACGCCGTGTGGAACGTTATTCGGATTTTTGTGTTGTTGAGAGTGACTCGTGGGGTGGTCCGAGCATCATGGTGTGAGGTGGAATTTGTCTTGCACAGAGGGTCAGCCCTGTGGTCTTCCAGAACATCGGTCCAGAGAGAGGCAACGGTCGGTCCAGGGAGAGGCAATGGTGTCACAGCAGTTCGTTACATTGATCAAGTCTTGAGACTACACGCCATGCCTTATTTGCACGTCGCCGCAACCACGAGTTTCAGCATGCCCACACTGCGAGAGCAACAAGAGGCTTCCTCCAGCAGAACGGCATCAGAACCATGCAGTGGCCTGCCCTCAGACCCGAGTTAAATTCCATTGAGCACCTCTGGGACGAGATTTAAAGACGATTGAATGACGTCCGACCAAGGTCGACAACTGCAGCTGAACTGCGTCAGGCGTTCCTCAGAGTGTTGGCCCAAGTGCCTATGGCCTTCATCAACCGCCTCATCCTTTCTATGTATCGACGTTGCACGGCAATCATCAATGCACATGCCGGACACACGAGATACAGACTTGTGATGCCATTTTCTCAGCGACTAGTGTTGTGTTTCACTTTAAGAACATTTGACACTTTAATTTCAACCTTGATAATCAGTTTCGCCAAGTTTCATCTTTTTAACATGTCTCAAAGTATATTTACAGTGTTTGGACAAATAAGGTTTCTCATACATTTATCCATGGTGACGTTTCATTTGCGGTTCAGTTTATATGTGTTTGTATATCCAGACCTAACGGGCACGTACTTAATGAGCACATGTGTGGAATACGAGCCAACACTATTCCGGATTACAGAAGAGAGACAGGCATGTTTCAAGACATTTGACAGTAACAAACTTCTGGACATTCGTGAGTTCACTTACATTAACTCTAAGTCCTGTTACTTCATGTACTTATTGCTGCTGCTACTACATAAATATCTGTTCCATTGTATTGCTTTTTTTTTATTATAAACTAAAACTTTGTGTTTGATTATAATTTGTTGATTATTTCTAGTCACCACTGATGTCACAATTTAGTTCTTTACGTGCAGGTTTCTGGATTAACCTTTTCATTTCAAATCATCCGGTGATAACTGGACCAAATACTTACCACATTTATATCAAAGGTTATCACATTTTAGCAAACATATGGCTGAGAAATGACTATAAATATGTCCGTCACTATGGCAGCCGTGGCGGTGATGTTGAAAAGCGTACTGAAAGCTCTTAACCAGAGCATTTTTATCGTATCCTTAGGCTAACTGGATTAAAATATGTTCAATCTTCATGTTGAAAAGATATATTCGTAGTGAAACAGATTTGTTACCAAACTAGGCTGATACCAATGAACAATATGGGAAATAAACCTAACATATGCTTCAGAAAAGCAGGCTATAGTCTATATACTGTATAACACCAAACAAGCAAGTCACACACATAGAAATGGAATAGTAAAAAACAAATATTTCTGGTAATTATAATATAGTTATGTATAAACATAAATTGTATACAGACGTAGATACAAAATAGTTCGCGGTCTTTTTGCCTTGGCCCTGTGCCGTCCATGAAGGCTAGTCTGTGGCACTGTTCGGAAAGTGTTTTTTTTTAAATAAAGGAACACGATTGTGCGACCAAATGAATCAGAACATCCCCGATACAAATCATACAAAAACTCCGTGAAAACAGTATGCTTGATTTTGTGGCACAAGCCATTCGATATGTGAACAGTACTTTTCCCTAATGGTCTGTGCTGCAAAATAACCTTGGTGATTCACCAAATGTCAATGTGATGCTCATTTTTTGGTGTTTGTTTCTTTGACATTTATAAAAAAGGGCTATGAGTTCACTCTTCCCTGTTATTTGTCGAAGTTCCGACAAGTAGGGGAGACAACTCTTACCTGTAAATGCACACACGTGGTGTAGTCGGTCCACTCCTGGTTGGTTACGTTCTCTCGCCACCAGGTGCCATTCAGCGTGCAATGCTTTGATGCAATGGCTGTAACAAACACACACAGACCATGGCATTTAATAGTTGAACTTGCCTACAAGCATATGGCATATCCGAAATGGTGCTTTCATATCTGAGAATGTGCATATTCGGCCTACAATACACCTACCTAACTTTATAGCGGCACTTGTGATACCTGTGTTATCACATAACCTGTTCCGTGTCCACATTGATTACCCCTTTACCTGGTTTGTACCACTCAAGTTTTCCTCTCCTATTTGATCACGTCAGTGACTCATTTCATAACTTGAGACAAAGAATTTCAGGTCGTGTCAGTTTCCTAAAACTGGGGACACACAAAGTACAGGATATGATCGACATTTATCGTGATCAAAAGAGGCACGGTAAGCTGATACTTCAGCAAGTCATGATAATCAAATCTACGCTATAACGTGTGCACTAAAACAAGTTTTCTTGCAAACTACCCAAGGTCCCCATCTGTCGTGTATCATAATACCGTTTAATATCATTGAAGCATTATACGATGATATACATAAAGATTGCTAGAAATATGCAATGTCTTCTCGTTACATATGAAGGCACTTATTCAACTGACATAAACTTTGTCTCTGGTATATCCGCATGGAATATGTGTTATATCTACAAGGCATCCAATCTAGATACTTGTCCAAAGAAAATATATAGAGGTTATCACGCGAGTGTGTTTGGGGATGGTAAATATCCTGCATTAGGAATAAACATTGTATTTAGCGAGCCTTGGCGAGCTAAATACATAGTGTTTATTCCTAATACAGGATATTTACCATCATCAAACACACAAGCGTGATAACCTCTTTATCATATAATGTCATTCTTTAATTCTGTGCTTCAAAATCGCTTTCCCTCTCTCACAAACATTACTGAAACATTGCGAGTTTTCCTGGAATGCGCGCATTAATATTTATTACGTCACAGGGTATAAGTGATGTCTCAGTCGGACAGTGAGAGTAGCCAATATAGTTCCAACTGAAATCTGTTTCTTATACTGTGGCGAAGCAACATATACGCAAAACAACAATTGTTTTTAATTGCCTTTCGCGGCAATCCATTGGTCTGCCCGCTAGAGTAACTGCCCCTTGTCAAAGGGAAGCTACTCTAACCCTAGTCTATGAGACGTCACTGCCACGGTCAGAAGTTGTCGGTCTGTCCTGTCATAACGTTAAGAAGTGTAGTCAGATGTACACACAGCGACAAAACGAAACAAGGTAACAATTCAAACATATTTCGGCCAAATCCAACTATTTTAATTTGTGGAGAAGGTTTCAAGCCGCAGAGGTCTACAAGCACAGATATGGCTACTGATCCCCTTGGCTAGGCCTCTGCAAAATTGTTTGCGAAATTTATATCTCCAAGTTGCCAAAACTTATAAAATGCCTTAGCTACGTAACAGTTAGACACTGATTTTCAGTATATTAGAGTCACTGTTCTTTTGATAATGATAGCAATTATCCCTGTAGTTTATCCAAATTCCCGATGGTTAATACCGACTCGATCGCCGAATGACAAGGGTGACGCCATGTTTGTTTATAAACAGTGAAAGTAGTCCCTACTTGACCTTTGAAATTTGCATCTCTATCCGCATATGACCCCAACGGATATCGTTTTTATCCGTTGGCTTTATCCTGCCGAGAAACCTACCCATTTTATGATAAATACTTATATATACTTACTTTATTGTGTCGACAGTGTATATTTATGAGAAAATGATAAAAAACCAAAGCAGATGACAATAAAACCGATCGCCCAAACGCATCACGGCCAAGGCCATGGTAACCCGATGCACGTGAGTTCCATGCAAATTGAAATGGACATGCGTTCCCCAATTTCTTTCTCTATAAAAATCCACCCAGATCGGATAACATTCATTCGTTATTGAATTGCTACCACATGCCAATTGCAAGATTGACAAGAAATCAGCGACACCAGCCCTTGGACGATTGCAAGCTGGACAAACCGCACGGTAAGTAGCCAATGCATTTCAAGTCCACGTAAGGACCATATACAGGCCCCAGCAACGGTACCAGACCACCAACACTAGAGATGACCGATCACGTAGTGGAAGACCAAGGGTCAACACCCGACGACAGCATCGTTAGATTGTGCGACAGCATCTTTAAGATCGCTTTGTTACTGCTGCGGAAACTGTTCGACAGACCATGGGGACACACCAGCGACACATAAGTACGGACACCGTGCGTCGACGATTGACGAGCTGACACCTCCACTGTCACAGGCCACACCGAGGAACCAATCTGACACCACGTCATCGCCGGGGCCGTCTTCAGTGGACAACACAGCACCAGCATTGGCGCCATCAGCAGCGAAGAAGAATCCTCTTCTCAGACGAGAGCCGTTACTGTATCTCAACAGCAGATGGTAGAGATAGAGTCTGGTGACGCCATTGGGAACGTTATTCGGATTCTTGTGTTGTTGAGAGTGACTCGTGGGGTGGTCCGAGCATCATGGTGTGAGGTGGATTTGGTCTTGCACAAAGGGTCGGCCCTGTGGTCTTCCAGAACATCGGTCCAGAGAGAGGCAATGGTGTCGCAGCAGCTCGTTACATTGATCAAGTCTTGAGACCACACGCCATGCCTAATTTGGCACGTCGCCGCAACCATAAGTTTCAGCATGATAACGCCCGTGCCACACAGTACAAGAGCAACAAGAGACTTCCTCCAGCAGAATGGCATCCGAACCATGCAGTGGCCTGCTCTCAGTCCCGATTTAAATCCCATTGAGCACCTCTGGGACGAGATTCAAAGACGACTGAATGACATCCGACCAAGGCCGACAACTGCAGCTGAAATGTGTCAGGCGTTCCTCAGAGTGTGGGCTTAAGTATGTATCGACGTTGCACGGCAGTCATCAATGCACATGGCGGACACAGGAGATACTGACTTGTGATGCCATTTTTTCAGAGACTATTGTTGTGTTTCACTTGAAAGAAGATTTGACACTTTAATGTCAACCTTGATGATCAGTTTTGCCAATTTTAATCTTTTTAACATGTCTTAAAGTATGTTTACAGTGTTTGGACAAATATGGTTTCTCCTATATCTATCCATGTTGACGTTTCATTTGCGGTTCAGTATATTACAATGCACACATGTTCAAAAACATTTTGTAATTCTTTACACATTAACCGTTACAAAAGAAATCATACATTCGCAATTCTTTAGGCATAATATATACGGATAAGAGAAAAGAATGTGAACACATAATTTGCACCGTCTGGACATGCTCCGTAGTAGGTGAAATGCAGTGTCATTCTTCTTGGAGATACAAGAACAGTTCATCCCGATTTTGAGGCTGTCGCACACGTTCTACGACTCGACCACCAAGAATATCCCACATATGCTCAATAGGGCTCAAGTTGGAAATTTTGTCAGGACAGGGTGGCAATTGGATTTGTGGAGCCCGCAGCATATCCATAGAGAGATGGGCAGTGAGGTCCCGTATGTCGCGATCGTCCCGAAGGGTTCACGACCACGTGTCATTATAACGTCCCATGTTTGCCTATAGAGGTTCCCCAGACGTGACATCACACTGGCCGACTTCTGACAGTCTGCTGCAGCCTGTCGTATGGATTTGTCAGACCAAATGCTTTAAATTAACCGCCCTTTCTGTGTTAAATTCATGCATTGTCTTGTTGCGTTTCCATAACGAAGACACGCGGCGTTCTTTCATGTTTTCCATCCGTGTATATATCATACGTATTGCCATAAGTCAGCCGCAGTTGCTGTTACTTGAAAACACTTATTTGCCAGCGTTAGATTGCGTAATCACAGATAATGGCGAGAGCGCCCATGAATATCAGTTTCAGCACCGGCCTTCCAACTCTCGTACATGCCATGATCAAGCGCATGAAAGTATTTTCTTACCACCTGGCGCAGGTTTGACCATCGGCTGAAGCGTAAAAATCAGCTCTTGTTTGGCAGTACTGAGATTATTTTCTTATTACCCACGTGGTAAAGATACAGGGGGTAAGATACTAAACGTGTGTCGTACAAGGTTGACCTGGTTTTATTCGTTTTGATTGGATAACCGTGACCTCTGTCACACCGGGACTACTTTTCTCATTCATAAAAAATCTCGAGACGTTATTCATTTTGCAACCACAAGGCAGAACTGAAGAAATTAATGAGAACGAGAGATATTTACAAACACTTTATCAAACCAAACAAAATAGTCACACGCGTCAAATTCTGTTTGCATTATATATAAGGTATGGATAGAGCTTCTACAGACATTATATAATCGAGCTATATATCCATTTACAATGTACGACTACCGATCAATAGAGCGAGGGTCCCCATGAGCGTGACGCACCCGACCACTTTCGCAACTTTCAATTTGATTTAACGTAAAAGGATAAGCGTGGTGAAATGAAGTCTGTTTTAACTTTCTGGACAGACTTACTTGGGATGATCCGGTTGTGCCATCAGTGTCCCCTCCGAAGCATATTTTGTGGCGCTGTTTCGGGAGGTGTTGTTCATGAATGAAAGTACACGACTGCACGACCAGATCACTAAAAGTGAACAGTTCTGATACAAATCATTCGAAATCTCCGTGGAAGTGTGACTGACTTCTGATTTTGTGACCCCAAACATCCCAAATCTAAACAATAACACTCCCTATCTCTAGCGTAAAACGCTGTGAGTAGGCCTAGATCACGGTTGCCTTTTCTTATTCCGGTGATGACCTTGCTCTTCGATCGTTCGAAGCTGTCACTGACATGCAAGCAGACTTGAGTTTGTTGATTTTCACGTTTTCAGTATAGGGTGGTACAGTAAACATGAATGCCTTTGGCGAACACTCTGCATTCCCTCTTCCAAGATGGTACGAACATGATATAAATTCAGCTGATAAATCAAGGAAACTGAACCATTTTGATTGCATGGACGGGACACCGGCAGTGACCGACTGTTAGTCCGATATTCAAAGCGCGGCGCTAATGTGACTTTTCAAATTTTCATATCGGTTTCCTT